TGAAATCCAGGCAATAGCATATAATATGTATTGTAATAGTCAATAGGCTTGACAAAAGAATAAATGCAAGATCCTTTAAGAGAAGCATCACCTACATGAAGGTTGATGTAGTGCATTGACTTAAAAGCTCCAAATTAGCTCTACTAGCTCCTCCGGCCATAGAAAGCACCATTTCTGATAAAGGAACTCTTGTTGGAATAAGAAGGGCTTAGAGGTGAGGTGTGGAGGGAAGCTCACACACCGAAGCCCAAAAGAGATGACTCACCACTCAAATTGGAAGGATGCTTTATGTTTGCACCCTTGGGAGCTCAAGGGGGCGATTGGGATCAAAATTCTCAACTTTAAAAGTAGCTCAAGGCTGTCTCTTTGAAAGGGCAAAATTAGGGTTTGGCGTTGTGGCGCTAGGCATGGTGTGAGGACACTGCTGATGTGGCGGGTGAAAGGAAGGTTTACATGATTAGATGCACTGACACGAGTCGAGCAAGAAAATTTGGGTGTTGTGGTGCTGGTATGGGCATTGTGGCATCGGTGGGTGTTATTGTCATGGCACAGACATCTATGTCCAATCAGTCGATATTCTTGGGCATGTAAAAAGTTGACTTACGGTATCGCGATGCTACCATGTGGCATTGTGGCCAAAACAAACAAAACAAAGGAGAATGACTTTTAGTGAATGGTTATATTTTGTTATCTTGGTGATATTATTATGTTAGATTGTAAGATATTTAGATATTTATCATGATAATACATGTATGTGTGTATGTGTCTATATATATATATATATTCATGATAATATATGTATGTGTGTATGTGTCTATATATATATATATATATATATATGTGTGTGTGTGTGTGTGTGCGCGCGCGCTATTATAAGAGCCTTCAACCACCCTTAATGTGTCTAACAATTAGAGTACCACATCCTTAAGGCCAATTGTGTCAGAGGGGATTTGAACCTTAAACCCGACGGGTCTTATACTGTTGATGCAACCAAACACACACACATACACAAATATATATAATTATAAGGAATGACGGTGTTTGTTAGAATCGGGTGCTAACAATTCTCCTTTTCTCTGCACTCTAGGGTTTGATCTTTCTACTGTCATGCTTGGATCTGGTTTTTTGTATTGAGCGGTTAGTTTTCTTTCCATTTTATTTTTTTACCTGGAATTTTATAGTGTTTCGTTGGTTTCTCTAAACTTTGCATGAGTTTAAATTTTCATATTTTATTTTCCAAATTGAAAGCCAATCAAAGCACTAAGCATACTCGTCGCCGCACACTTCATATGTGATTGACTGCACATCTAGAAATATGTTCTTAGAAGAAAATATTTCATATGATCTAAAAGTTTTCGTAGCATTCTCAAGTGTGAATTCTAATTCTAAATTCAAAATGAAAATTCATATTGAAATCTAAATTGTTAATTCCAAAATAGAAATTCACTTCAAAATTAAATTTGCATTGCTAAAAATGAGAATTGCATCAATGAAATTTAGATTTTGATGTGAATTTCTATCTTGGAACTGACAAATTAGATTTCAAAATGGATTTCCATCATGGCTATGGAAATTAGACTACGTACTAGAAGACGTAGTAAAAACTCTTATATCATATGGAATATTTTCTACCACGAACAAATTTCTAGGTATGCAGTCAATCACGTAAGTGGTTGTGGCGATGTGAATGTTTAGTTCTATGATTGCTTTTACAGTTGAAAATAAAATACGAAATAAATATGTTGGTGATAGGGTTGGAGTAGCTACAGTTGTAGGCAATATTAAAAAGAGACATCATGAAGACTAAATAAACCGTCAGAATTACTTTTTCTTAATATAAAACAACAACTACCACTCAAAAATTGAATAATTTTTATTTTAACTCAGATTTCATTAGAGTCGATAATAGTTAAGCTCAAAATCAAATTGTTAACAGTCTACTGAGGTGATTATGAATGTCGAAGATCAATAATCGGCTAATATTTATCGATATTTTATCTTTAATCTTGTTTGTCACCATAGCTACACCAACTCATTCATGAGTATATTTTATTCATATTTTCTCCACAAGTGTAAAGCCATCGATCCATATAAGGTTTGAGAATGGCTTTTCACTTGGAGATAAAATATGAAACAAATATATCCATCAGAGGGATGGTAGCTATAGTGGCATACATTATTATAGGGAGATGTCTTAATCAACTATGAGTCAATGTTTGGTCATTCAATGATCTTCAACAAAGCTTGCATTACTAAAATGTTAAACGATTCGACTTTGAGCCAAGATGATGTAAGTTTCAAATAAATCGAATCTAAAATTTTGGCCCATACCTCAGTGTGTTTATTTCAACTCAAGTTTCATGTGCGAGTGAAATTTAGAATCAATTTTTTAATGATTATCATTTTTCAAACTAAATCTGATTCCAAATTTCGCACTTATCTCATAATTTTATACTTTCATATTTGTAAGATTTATTAAAACTCATTCAAACTAAATCCAGCTTTCAACCGAACAGACCCTTAAGCTAAAAGTTAACATTCTGCTTTATAGAATATTGCAAGTCTCACCACCATCTTATAAAATTTTCCTTTTAGTTTAAGCAGCATTTTCTATGACACAATAGCCCGGATGCATTCCCCCACTTCAACCAACCAACTTGAAATCTACTAATCACATCCCCATCCATATCACCAAAAATTTGAATGAGAGACCCAAATATTTAAAATGTTCACAAATTTTAATGATTTGATAATCTATAGTTACAACTGTGCCACCAGAGCTACTACCACTAAAATTGTTTTTCATGTATTTAGTTTTAGATCTACTCAAATGAAGGACTTTAGACTCCAATGTCGACCTTCACAATTTAAGTTTTTCCTAAAATCTTTATGTACTCTTATCCACAAGAAGGATATCAATGACGAAAAGCATACACCAAGGTACATCTCCTGTAAATGTCTAGTAAGAACATCCATAACAAATGCAAAAACATATACGCTAAAATATGAAAATATTTGATCAATTCTCTTTCTAGTACCTAAAGCTTAAACACATTCCTCCAAAGAAATAAAAATAAAAATGAAAATGAAGAGGAGAAACTACCTTTCTCAATTGTTTCAAATAGGAGAAGAGCGAATGGAGGAGAAAAATGGGACTTCATGGTCACTGTAAGTTGTGTTTCTGTCGATGCGTTCCTAGCTAGCTCATGTTGCAACTAATGAAGATTGAAATGGTTTCAGATGAAAGAGAGAGTCGAGGGTGGAAGAAAGTTTGGGATGTAGAAAAAGATGGCTTTTTCCCACTAAAAGTGAATGTAGAATAATATTTTTTAAGTGGTTATTTCTTATAATCCTTGTCAATTGTGCAAAGCTTAAGGAATTTCACTAAGTTTAAGAAATTGTATTAAGCTTTCCACTCTTCTTACCAATGGAGAAGAAATATACAAAAGTACTAAAAAAATATTTTTTTTTTTTGTTAATATGTTCAACTTTAAGTTTGCATGCATGCACTTGTTTGTGGAATAATGCATTTTCAATGGCCTGTCCTTATATTCTATCTCCAATATGTAAAGGTTAAAAAGTTTCACTTTAATTACTTTTTTTTTGAATTTTCCATATCTTCTTACTTGTGAAAAGAAATATGAATAAGTGCCTGAAATTTCTTTTTTTTTTTGTTAATATGTTCAACTTTAAATGTGCATGTATGCATGTGTTTGTGTAGCCTTTTTATATGCTTGAATAAAATTGTTTGTAAATTCCTATTATGTAATGATAACATCATTTATTATATTATTACAAACCAACATAATTCAATAGGTGAATTTGCATTATTTTGAAAAAGGCCTTTGTGATTTAGCTAAATAAGTGGTATCTATAGTTTGGCGTTAGATGAAAATCATGGAATACAATAGCATCACAACCAGTGCATGAGAAAATCAATTGATGTGTTCTCTTAATAGTTAGGTTTGCAAGGAGAGTGAAATCATGCAAGGGAAAACAAGGTAACCATAATGTGGTCAAGATAGATCACTTGGGTGAATAAGAATGATTCTGAGCTTGACAAATCATCTAAAAATTTTGTTATTATTATTATGGTTGTTGTTGTTTTTGTTGTCCATGTTGGCCTTTTAGCTACAACTAATGAAAGCTAACCATAAAAAAATATTTCGATTGATGTAATCAAATTCCCTCAATAGTTAACATGGATTTTAAGGACCGAGTGAGAATAAAAGAGGTGTTACACTATCCATACATGCGAGTATTATTTGTGGTGAAGACCTTAAATGACAATTTCAAGGTTGTTAAAAAATGTTAACATCCCCAACATAAGTGAAATTCACAAACAAATTCATCTTTTAATTATTTCTTCCCAAAGCAAGTTAATCATGCCACCATGCGAAAGGATTTATTCAAACTTCAACATCCATTGGGACTAGTAGTACAACTCGTTGCACATCGAGTTTATGGCTAATAATTGTACTATTGTGGAACACGGTCATCATCCATGACTAGATGGTTTGATGATTAAGTAAGATGGGGTGGAAAAAGGAGGATAGTCATGAGCCTAATCATGCTAAAGTCATATACGATAACATAAGGATCGAGATCTTAGTTAGTAAATTCACAAGTCTTAGCCAACTTATTGATTGTCATTTAATTGTAACAAGATGCATTGCAAAATCAACAAAGATTCTCATAACTTTCACCATTAATGACATCACATGGATGTATCTATGTTTTATATAAAAAATTAATAATACAAAATATCATTTATATACTAATTAATATTATATACATCTCAAAATATATCTAAAAGCTTTGTGGTTCATCTTAATCATCTTTTTTTGATAAAAATCACTTGAATAAAAATTTGGCAAGCATACCAAGAAGTAGTTAAAAAAATTCAAAGTGTATTCAAATGAAGCTTATATTATTTGAGGTTTAAGGATAATTAGAACTATTGTTTATGTTATATGTATACATGAGATAAGATTTTTTATTCTCAATAGATAGAATTTTCTTTGCGCTCCGCCGCTCCGGAATTGGGGTTTACATCCGGCTCCTTTCCAGGGAACGGAAGGAAATTTGCTGAGAGCGAAAACTCTCGTCTGAAACGATAGTCTCGACACGAAGAAGGCGCTGCTAGGTCAGCGATCATGGAGATGATGAACTCGGCCGGCGGCGGCGGAGGCGTTGCTGGCATGGGTTACGCTGATTCAGTGGACTCATCGCCGCGCTCTCGCGGCGGCGAGTCCTGGGACGAACCGTTCCCTTCCTCGGCTGCAGCCACAAAACTGCGATTGATGTGTAGCTATGGAGGACGGATCGTGCCGCGACCTACAGATAGATCACTGTGCTACCTCGGCGGAGACACGCGGATCGTGGTAGTGGAGCGGCACACTACTCTCGCTGATCTCTCTGCTAAACTCTCCCGGCATCTTCTTGGCGGTCTAAACTTTACCCTCAAGTATCAGCTTCCGAATGAAGACCTCGACTCCCTTATCTCAGTTACCACCGACGAGGACCTAGATAACATGATCGACGAGTACGATCGCATCGTTGCATCTTCTTCCGCCGGCAGCGGATCCGGTTCATCCCGATCATCCCGCCTTCGGCTGTTCCTTTTCCCTTCGAAGCCGGATTCGGCACCATCGTCGATTGGATCGCTGCTGGATGATTCGAAGTCGGAGAACTGGTTTGTGGATGCCCTAAACGGTGCCATCGGCATGGACGGCCTCCCTCGCGGCCTTTCTGCAGATTCCTCTTCTGTTAACTGTCTTCTTGGCCTGGAGGACGACTCCTTAAAATCGCGCTCCGGGATCTCGGCCTCAGCCGCCGCCTCTGTCGGCTCCGTGCAGCCAGAGCATGAGCAGCTACTACCTCGGCCAGATTCTTCTGGTAAGCTTACACGCCAGGATGTTCAGTCCGTGCCGGATTCCCCCATGGTCGAGACTACTTCCTCTTTCGGCTCGACCTCCTCTGCCCCTTACCTCTCGAATCTGCCCCCGATCCGTGTACGCCCCGACGACCGGCCTCCAGAGCAGCGGATGGGCGGCTTGGAGGACCACTTCTCGCAGATGAACATCTCTGCAGCTGCCGCCATGGCGGCGGCATCTGCTCCAGGACAGAGGCTGTCAGACGAGACCAGCTTCAGGGAACCGAACTACCCTTTCTACCAAGCCCCTCCTCTCGCAAACCCAATATCTGCTTCCTCAATCTCCCCATCTGAAAACCCTAATCGCAAAATGTTTTCCTCTGATGAAGAGAAGTCCGATCAAGTTGCCATCAGCATACCGCCGCCGCCGGCGTTAGATG